CAACCTATTTCATGGATCACAGAGGCCCAAGAACAGCTGCTTGTTCACTGGAGGAAGGCAGGCATTAGTTTCATTCCTTAAACACCTGATGTGGCCTCTTCTGTTGATCTCTGCTTTCCAAGGTGGCAGCCCTTCTCAAGACCTTTCCATTTGGCCAGGAAGAAAAGAGGTGCAACTGTGACCGCTGGGGGCCAAGACACCCCCCATGACAGTGCCAAGTCCAGTAACAGACATTGTGCCACATCATTTGAATTCCCCAGATAAGCTCTCATCCCTAAGCATTCAAAATGAGTCCATCAGCTGGACAGCAGCCAAGGCTCAGCAAAGAACCCCCCAAAAAGTGAATGGCTTCTGTGGGGGTTTACGGTCTTATCTTCCTTAAGGGCTCTTCCTCTCGGTGAACATGGTCCTTTACAAAAGGCCACTTATTCTTCAGAGGTGGCATCTCTCCATGGACCCACTGTGGTCACCTAGGGCTGGCCACGTGCTCACTGTGGGGAGTAGGGGGACCTGTCCTATCCGAGGAATGGAGGGAGCCCCAGAGCAGGGCACCAGGGTCAGATGAGGGCTGAGTGTAGTGTCTTCTCCTCTCGGCATCTAGATTGCACTTAAAGGGACAGCTGAGGAAACGGAGGCTGAGGAGTCACTTGGTGGAGCCCAGCACCCAGCTGAGAAGTGCCCTCTGAGTCGCCCTTGGACCAGGCTCCTACTCCCATCTCCTGGTGGGCAGCTCTGAGCGTCCAGCTCATAGAGACAATGGACTCTTCCCCAGCTCTGTCACAGGCTTGCTGAGTGGCCCACACAAGCCCCTTCCCCCCCCTCTGTATATCACCTCCACATCTGAATCTCCCAACCTGGTGGAAATCTCAGATCTACTGCTCATAGGGAGCCCTGGTGGCCAGGTGGGTGAGGAACTGTGGTGCTAAGTCAAAGGCAAGTTCAAACCCACCAGCAGCTCCAAGGGAGAAAGTTGAGCAATCTCCTTCCATGCGATTTACAGCCGCAGAAAACCTGCTGGAAGGTCAGCTGTGAGTCAGTTCCACCTCGATAGCAATAACTGCTCATCGGTCATGTAGCTTTAGAAAAATTCTACTTATTGATCTTGTTTCCTTGACTGTAACACAGGGTTTAATAAGGAAAGGCTGTTCTTCAATGTCTATCTTCCCCTAATACCCTTTCCCATCACAAGAAACCCACCCAGCACACCTGGGACACCTTCTGATATCTGAACTTGGGAGAAATACTAACTCCCTTTCCGGTTTAATTGACTTTAAAAAAAAAAATCTGCTGCTGTTGTTGATTGCCATGGTGATCTGATGTTGTGCCAACCTGTCAATTGCTGTGACGTATCTGCCTCCCAGCAATCCCCAGTTCAGTGGAACAAAACCCTGCCTGGTCTCATGTCAGCTCTGTGACACCTGGCGTGCCAAATTCACTGCTGTAACCACTGAGGATGTGAAGAGCCTTCCAACAGGGACATTATTCTCCCAGCACTCTTCAGACAAATGCTCTGTTGTCCTTCATAGGGTTCTCATTGAATGGTTTTCAGAAACAGACCGCCTGGCCTATCTTCCTAGTCTTAGTCTGAACACAGCACTGAAACTTCCCACCACATGTGACCCTAGAGCATCAACAGCAAACACACAAGCCCACACAGCGCAACAGACTGGTCTACAGAAAAAAAAAATAGCCTTCATGCCAAACAATAACAGGTAAACCTGTGGCACTTTTCATAAGAGACACAGTTCTGAATGCTTTGTGTTCGTTCACTGAGCGTAAAACTGTGTCACAGTCTCATTCATTGCTGTTGACGTGAACTAACGCATAGCTGGCCTTCTAGTGGGTTTTCAGAAGCTGTCATTCACCTGAGAGGAGACTGTCCATCTTTCTCCCTCAGAGTCGCTGATGGGTTCAAATCACCAGACAGGCATCACCTCTGGGTTAGCCATGCACCTCCCTATTAACTATGCCCCCGAGTTCCTAGTGTTACGTGTAGTTCAAGGTCATTTTCACTTCTGTATTCTTTTGACTCGTGTAAACTTATTTACCCATCCTGTTGTGGCGCATTAGGCTGTATCTCCTTTACAGAGCAGCAAATCATGCGCTCACTGACTTCAGGTACACTAATAGCTGACATTGACGAACCTGGTTTTACAAAGGAGACTACGGAGACGGGAGGGTTTGGACAACCTGCCCAGGTTCAACCACACGCAGAAGCACGTAGGAATCTCAGAAAGGTAGAGCTGAATATAAAAGCAAGTTGTACAAGGGCAGCGAGCAATGCCACTTATATCAAGATTAATAGCATATCATCTCCCATGTTGGCTTAGGGAGGCATCCTTTCATATTTCATCCAAGAATAAAGACGTGTATGGGAAGGGCACACGTCCAATCCAGGGCTGTGATGGGAGATGTTCAAAGGCACTTTGGACCAATTGGCGATGTTTTTGTTTCTTGAACTGAGTGATAAGTACATACAAATCCACTCTTTTTTATATGTCTTAATTTTTTTTTTAAGGGTAGGGAAGGAATCATGTGTCTAGCCTGTCTCTGGGCAGAGAGCCATCCAGTTCATGGTAGAGCTGGTTGTCTTTGCCTGGCTCGCTGGAGAGAACACAGGTCCAACCAGAGTCCACCTTGTTCTATCTGTGATGCTGTGTCTGCTCTTAGGTCACAGAAACAGCCACCATCCCCCTACAACAAACTCTTCCTCAGTCACCCACTCCTGTGTTTAGGGGTGTGGTCGTTGGGGCAGTTTGGGGTCTCTGAGCCTAGGCAAGCTCCCAAAACTCCCCACTCTTTATTCATTCTGTAAAATGGGAATGCAGGTAATAGGGACCAAAAAAAGATGGGATAAATGATGAATACTCCATTGAAACAGATGAGAGATATAACTGTTAAAAGGGGATAGATGACTAAGTATTATTGTCATGACAGGAGTCCAGAACGAAGGCTGCAGAGTGGTGTAGACTTGGGGGGAGGGATTGTATAACAATGAAAGAATTTGGGGTTTTTTTCCAAAGAGAAGAATGAACTGGAGGGGAGGGTTGGGCATGCCATTAACCAGGCAGGGCTTGAGGGTGGGGCCCTGGGGGCATGGGAGGCTGGCAGGGCCTGGTCGCTCACAGGTGTGCCTGCTTGGAAACCACCCCCACCCCCAGTGGGAGGTGCTCCCATTATGAGAATTTCATCATTCAAACATATTTACATATTCTGCCTTAAAGGGCCAGGCAGTGATACCAGGAGGGTTGGACTCAGTCCTGGGTGCTTCCATTCAGCCTTCACAGCCCCTATCCATTATCCATTATGCCATTATCCACAGTGCTTCTCCAGTTCTCAGACTGGGGAGCCGAGGGTCAGAAGTCAGGTTGGCCATACAGTGTCACCTGGGTTATGAGGACATGACTTAAACCATCGTATGCCCTGCCTCCGGCCACTACTCCAAGGCAGAAAACAGGGTAACCCCACTCCAGCTCACTCCCATCACCCTTTACTTTCTTCTCAGCCCCTCTATCTTACTATCAGCTTTCTTCACGGCTGCCTCTCTAGTGTCAGACAGAACGCCTCATCTAATCCTCATAACCCTTGGTGGAACCATTAACGACAGCTCCAAAAGTCACAGGAAGTGGGGAAGCTGAGACCTGAACCCAAGCTGGACTTAGCTGCCAGCTCCTCACCCTCCGTTTGTCCACAGAGGTGTGCGTCTGTCCACAAGGGCAGTGGAGGAGGGGAGGCCTCTGAGACAAGGGGCATGCCGTTATGTACAAGGCCACCTCACCTCTCACTTTGAGGTGCCTGAGACCCACCGCTGGCTCTCAACCCCTCACTCACCCCCACATCCAGTTGCTCTGCAAATTCTGACTCTCCCTTCAATAATATAACCAGAATTTCTATTTCTGCTGTCAGTTCGCTGATCCAAGCCATCCATATGTGGGCTTGGTTAGTATTCTCGTGCCAAGCACCACCCTGGCCCGTCCTTGTCCCCCTTTCGACTTCTTCACACAGCAGCGTGTTCAGATGAAATGCACTTCTATCTGCTGAAACTCTCCAGTGGTTCCCATAACCGTTGGAATAAAACCCAAAGCTCTTACCATGGCTCATGCTCTGAGCCTCTGAGGGCTAATCCTGTGGAAGGAGAGAGCTATGCAGATGTAAACACATGCTGAATGTGTACACAAATAGTGCACAGAGTCTATATTTTTTTGCAAACTACCCACCCCACGTGTGTTAGTTTCCTATGACAACTAGGTGAGTTACATGTTATTTATATGAGTGTGTTATATGCAAACATGTTGTGTGATGGTAAATGCTGAGAGAAAAATCAAACAAGGTGGAGAAGGATCCTATGTGTTGTACATGTGTGTTCATGGCCGTGTGTCTGTGTGTGCGCGCACGCGCACAGCCCCAATGTCCTTGGAGCTGGGCAAGTGTGAGAAGAGAGCGCAGACGGAGTCACAGAGATAAGGAAGGGCCTTGTACCTGACATAGAACAAGGGCTCCAAAAATATCTGTGGAATGAAAGAGGGACTATGAGTTCAAGAAGTATCTGTTGGATGGGATGCTGCTCAGGAACAATGATTTCGAAAATTACTACATAATTTGACAAAGACTAGAGAGCATTATGCTGAGTGAACTGACTCCATCGCTTAAGGACAAATACTGCATAAGACGATTATTGTAAAAATAGGAGGATGAATAGTAAAAGGTGTATGGGGATCCAAAGGAGAAAAGGGTGGGAGCAGAGGGATGAGGATGGGTAGGGGGGGAAATCACAGGATCACACAATTTGAAGGGAGAAGGTGGGGAGGAGGTGGGACACGGCAGGGCTAGATCTCCTGTCTGAGTGGTGCTGAGACCCAGGCTGTATCTAATGCTGGACATACCAGGAGCCTCAGTCCCCTGCGGCGGAAAGAATGACTCACAGGAGAGGGTGGGATCTGCATCTGGAGAAAGAAGCTGGAGGGTATGTTTGGGGGCAGCGACAATTCCTATAAGGCAAGATGGCACTAGAGACTAAGAGCAGAGAAGACGGCCTGGTACGTGGTTCCTGGAACGAGAAACACCTTCCGCCTCTTCTCCCAGAACCCAGCGCTGCTGTGGGGCTGTGGGTTCAGGTGGGGTTGCTCCATCTGCACCCTGCAAACCTGCATACCTGGAATGCGACAGGGAACACCACCTGGAGGGCCTGCTGGGCTCCATAGGTGAGCAGCTGTCCAGGTACAAGGCGAGGACATCATACTCAGAGGGTGTCTCGAGTGGGAGGCAAGATGGGACAGCTGGGAGGAGAGAACAGGATGCTGTACTCAGAGCAACCACGAGACGCTAAGGAGAGCTAAGTGGGCTGTTAACAGACACTCACCCTCACACTGCTGAACCCAGCTTGCAGGTGCTGTGGAAGAACACGCTCTGATTGCAGTGTGGTCTCTGCCTTCGATCCCAGACCCTGCGCCTATGACATGATGTGCTTCATGCAGCAGGGATGGGGAGGGGGTGAGGAAGGACCATGAGTCTGAGCAGGCCCACCACGAACCTCTAGCACTGGGGTAGTGACCCTGTTTTAGACCGGGGCAAGGTCACAGCCACTCTGAAACCCTAGTCTGCCTGGTTCCCGGCCCTTGCACCTTTCCTGCCAGTCTCTAGAGGGGGAGACCCCATCCCCATGGAAACACAACAGCTAGGTACTACCCTGTCGCTTCCTCTGAGTATCACATTCAACCACCTTGTCTGCCTCCTTTCCTCCCTGGAGAAAGCCTAGGACTGTGGGGTAAGGAAACCAGACAGCTGTTGGATGCCCCTACTCTACAAACTCACTAAACTCTACAAATGTACAGAAATGATGTTACAGAACAGAGTTCAGGTCTTTTGTGCAAAGCTTACTCTCAGTTGTATTCAACTTGATGACACTTAACCACTGCTAAATGTGACTAGTGCTGTTATATCTGGAGGAACACTCTTCCACTTTGCACATCACTCTTTGTCAATGTGCTGTACGAAGTAACCTGGGTCTGTTTGTGCCACTGGGGTATCAAATACCAGAACGGTTTCCCATTGTGGACAGTGTTCAGTGGAGCTCCCAGTTGTAAAACACGTTTGGAAGCAGGAGAGGCATCCACTTCCTAAACCACACACCTCTCTAAACTCTTTGAACTTGGAGAAACAATGATAGTTATGGAAAGGCATTAGGTCTTTCATTCATAGAGTCGCTATGAGTTGTGTTCGACTCAACAGCAATCAACAACAACAATAACAACACCTGTCCCAGAAGAATCAGAATTTCTCACACACCAATGAAATGCCTCTGGGTACCACAGAGCGAATCTGAATGGCACCAGGATATGGAATCTGTCATCATCATCGGATGACAGTGATAATTAGCAGTGACAGCACTGATGGCTGTCAAGAGGCTGAACAGCTCTCCAAGGGACAGCGCGCTTCTCTCCCCACATTCTGAGCTAACGGAGCCAGCCAGCTGTCCCCAGCTCTGCGGGCGTCTAGCTGAGCAATGAGGCGAGCACTACAGAAAGAGGAGCTCTGAATCTTCATGCTCTTTGCTCTTTGGGGGATCGTGCAACCTTTAAGAGTTTGGTGAAAGCTGTGATGCCACCATCATGAGGACAAAGGATACAGATCACACATTTTGTATACAATTGCAGTGAATTCACAAAGTCCTTAAACCCCATCGTGAGCCCTTTCATCCATAATTCCTTCCTTTGTTCAAGAAACATTTCTGCTCAGTGTCCACTGAGAAGTGTCATCCGAGGGGTCTGCATCCACAGCTGGTTGTCACAGAATTGTGTGAGCCAAGGCAGCCTGATGCCCAAGAGAACAAAGAGCTTCCCAGTCCTGTGCCATCCTCATGATTGTGGGCATGTTGTTGTTGTTGTTGTTGTTGTTGTTTACCATCAAGATAGAACTGACCCATTGCTGACCTTCCAAGTGGGTTTTCAGGGGCTGTAAATCACACCGGAAAAGACTGCCCATCTTTCTTCCGCAGAGCAGCTAGTGGATTCAAACAATGTGCCTTCAGGATTGCAGTGCAGCTTCTTACCACTAGGCTACCAGAGCTCTCTTTTTGGGGTCATTGTGTTGTGCTTCCAGTCCTGGGGACTCCTTTTCTACTAAGCCTATCTGACAATTTAAAACTCCAAAACAAGGGAGTTTTTACTGGCTAATGTTCTGAACTAGAGTGCAAGGCTTTTCTTTTTAATCTTTCTTAGTCTAGACATTCCACGGAAATCATTCTACCACAGGTGACCCTGCTGGTATTAGAAATATGGAGAGTCTAGCTGCCAGCATCACGGCAACCACAGGCTTCCACCATACGACAGACTGACAGATAGTGGTGATAGTCTCCAGTAGTACTTTTTAATCAGAGCAACATATGAAACCTTTAAAGCACCTATGTTGGTACATAGTTCTTGAGGCTTTTGTTATAATCTCCAAGCATGGCACATTTTGTCTCAAGTGGATCTTAAAGGCTGAGAGATAATTATTGAAGATACAATTATTAGTCTTTATTCATCTAGGAGAAAGGAAGAAATAAAGAAGAGAAGGAAGGAAGGAAAGGA